GTGGGACAATTTAAAGGGGTGTAATTTTGAGGAAGTGGCTTCTTACCATTTTCTGAGAGCGAGATGTATTTTATTGGGGCATCCAACAGCCGAAGCAGCAACAGTCACTAGCTGTTTATCAAAATATTTTGTATATATATCTGAGATATTTTCACATTCATGCAGCAAAGCAGCTGCAGTTATTTTACGATGATGCAGCGGGAAGAGGATTGCTTTAACTCTTCCACCTGGAAAAATCTGGGTGTGTTGCTTGTTATAAAAGCAAGAAAAATCAGAAACAAATAGAAAAGTCATAGCACGTTTGGTTTATTTGCCTCTAATTTTTCTTTTGTAACTGATCCCTCAGCCCTGTTGCTTCCTGCCTTCCCTTTCTGCCCCAGTGATTTTGGGGTTGTTTCCTAGCCGGCGGGAAAACTGCTGCAAGTGAGTGCAACCTGCCCGTGTCACGGGGTGGCTGTGGACGTGTTAAGTCCCCGCTGCCAGGGTAGGAGAGGGAGGTGGGCCCTTGCAGCTCTGGTTGCTCTGACATGTTGGGTTTACTGCTTAATGCACAAATATACTACATCATTTTTCTTTTTAAAGACTGATTTCTGCTGTGGGTGTTTTTGCAAAGCCCAATCCCATAGAAAAGCTGCCGGAGCACCTGCAGCTTGAGGTGCTGAGGGGGTCAGGCGGGAGGTGCCCCATCCCACCCCTGCCTGCAGTTGCACAACGGGCAGGGGCAGAACTTGATGCTGCTCTCCTTAATACGATGTTTTTATTTTTCATGGACCCTTCACTAGCACCCCTCCAGGGGTGTGATGGAAAAGGGTTTCCCCTCCCTGAGGCTTAGGCGGAGGCTGTGAGGTGCTCCGGAGCTCGGTGAAACCCTGCTGGGGAGGAGCAGGCAGAGGCTTTCAGCATGGCTGTGACATCTGGTGGTAACCACACTGCTGCAGCCGAGTGCGGGGCTTGGGGGTGTTCTCCCTTCTCTCCCCTGCCCAGCAGCACCTCTGTATGGGTGAGGGTCCCCTTGGGTCTTCTCTGAAATGCACCCTTTAGTTCACCTGGCAAACGCTGTCATGTTTGAAGGAGGATGTGGTGGAAAAATTAGGGGTTGTCTGGTCCCAAAGTGAGCGAGGCTGATGTCTATCTGGTGTGCTTTGTCCCAAAAAGTGAAGAGTGGGTCTCCACAGGGCTGAAGCAAGTGGGATGGGAAAGAAGCCATGCAGAAAAGCTCCCCGGGAGCTCCTTTCAAGGGCATGAGGTCCATGCAGAGCTGCTGACCCAGGGCTGCCCTCTTCCTGCCATCGGATGGAGGGAGCAGAGCAGCTGCGGGGGCTTTGGGAGGTGGAGGGTCACGGTGACAGCTGCCCCATGGCTGAGCATCACCCCAAGAGAGCAAATTCCTTCCTATCTGAACCCATCAGGTGTAGGGCACTTGGGCAATGCAGAGGGTTGGGGTTGACTCTCTGCTTCCCCACATCCACCTAATCCACACCACAAGCTGATGAAACAGTCAAGAAGTGTGATGTGCTGATGGACTTGGAGCTGAGTCCCGCAGGGCAGCTGGGCCAGACGCAGGTTTCGGACTGAAAGGAGAGAGCAGGGGCCAGGGGTGGGGGGAGTGTAGTTAGGTGGAGGTTGACAAGTTTTAACATTCAAATGTGGGTCAGAAATTGAAAAGACACGGTCACTAGGCACGTCCGCTCATGCAGAGACGCTCTTGAGTCTCAGACAAAGGTTGTTCTAAGGCAGCAGCTCCATTCTGCAGAGGCTTCGGAAAATCCTTCCCAGGACTGGGAAAAAGGGCTTTTGTTTAACCTCAAAGCTCAGCTGGTGATGTCATCTCCATGCTAAAGGGTGAGAGTTAAACAGGGTCCCCCGTGGGTATGTGTCGGCTGGGCTCCAGATACCTGCAGTATTGTGTAGCTGAGGCCACCACGAGGTGGAGGAAAAGTAAACTTGCTTAAAAGCTGAACCAGAAGGATATTGCTGTAGCTCAGCACAGAAAACATCGGTAAAAATAACAGAAGCAGGTATAAAGGTGAACGTTCAGAACCCTGGGTTTGCAAATGTGACCTACAGCTTCTCTAGTCAGCCACACCGACGGATGCAGGATTGAGCAGTGAATACCTTTGATATCCCAGCATCCTTCATGGTGCATGTCATGTTGGGTGGAAAGGACAAGTGAAATATTGGCTACAACGTCTATGGATGGTAGACTTTTTGTTGTTGTTTTGTGCAAGAAGTTTTCTTTGTATTCACAGTGATCTTAATACAGACTTGGGGGTGTGGGTCTCTGGTAAGGTAGAACAGAAAGTAGGGGAGAGGTGATCTGGGCCTTTTTAAGCTGGTGAAGGCCAACAATGAGTCTTGTTGGAGCACAAACCCACTTAATTTTCTTGGAAATCGTGACCATGCTGTTTGAAAAGCCTTGTGCTACACAGACTAGCCACCAACATATGAGCATTTTGGCTCCTCCATACGTGGGTCTATCAGTGCATTATACAGCCCAGGGAACTCGTCTGTTTTGGTCTTTCTGACTCAGTTGCATAAGGCTCTTCCTACAAGAAGCCCAGTTAATGATTTTGAGAAGGTTGACTGAACAATTGTCAAGTCCTCAGCGATTCCAAGCAGGCCTGGGTATGCACCATGTAGACCAGAAAGTCCTCCAAGGAGCTGTGGGATTCCCTGGAATGTCACAAAAAGCCCTCATTGTTCCGCTTTTTGGTGTGGTTTAAAAATGAAATACCACATTCTCCATCTGAAGTTCACTCTCTCAGCCTGTTGGCCTCTGTCTTCTGTGAAAGTGTTAGCAAATATAATAATTGTGAAGAGGTTTTGTTTGTAACACTGACCTGTTAGCTGCTGGATCGCTGGCAGTAGAAAAACTTTGTGTGAGCCATGATAGAGCCGTCAGCATCAGGTGATGCACTTTGGGTGAGTTATCCTTGGTGGGTGGAGGAGCATCACAGGGGACCTACAGGCATGTTGTGAATTGACGTGTGGCCTGAGAATGACACATGGGATTCCCATGATGTTCCCAAGGTCAGGAAGGGCCAAAGGAATGTAGGTGCCTCTAAATTTGGGATTCCTTGTCACAAAAGTCCAAAATGCGACTTTAAAATGAAAACAAATGCAGCTGATTATCCAGTGAAGGCAAGAAACCAAACTGCATAGTCTCTACTTAATTTTTGTAGTATCTGTTATTTCTGAATTTGTGAGTTTTATGTTGTTTACTTGGAATAGCGATGCATTTTTTTATTGCTATTAGCTATTAAAATGACACATTAATTGTTTCTGCAATTAAAAATGTGTTCAACTCTCCTCCGTGCCAGCATTTGTGACATTCAGAAGTCATAAACATCAACCACTCCATCACTTTTGCTGTAAACATGTCCTAGAAAAGTCATTTCATACTGAAGTCAGACTAAGAAATGCACCACAGCAGCATTTTAGAAGTTCTCTCACGAGGCTTAAAGGACATTAGAACTCTTCCTTTGACCCTTCACACCAGGTGGATACTTTGATTAGTAAACTTAGCCACTGGCTAGCCATCAAAGATTGTTGGAGTAATGATCTGTGACACATAATACTCAAAAAGTTAGCAGACAAATGCTGGAGGAGGCTGCACGCTGTGAAGTATCAAGGGCTATCATCGTTTTAGACGTTAGAACTTTGAATGTTTCGAGCCCCTTTCCATCTGGTAGGCTACAAGCAATAGCAAACCATAGGCTTGACCTTGGAGTTGTTGGTTGTCTTTTTGTGGTCTTTGAGATGCCAGATGAGGAGAGTGGAGTATTTCTCCTCTCTGCCTACAGAATCACAGAATAGTAGGGGTTGGAAGGGACCACTGTGGGTCATGTAGTCCAACCCTCCTGCTGA